ACGTACAATATAGCAGGCTTAATAGGACACCCAAATCATCTTAGCAGTAAGAAGACTTAAGTGGCAAACGTAATTTCTAAATTAGTGTATTTGTGATCAAATTACTGTCTTAAACTACACACTACCAGCTGAAGTGGACACCAAAAATCCAAAATTGAGACCTTTAAGCGAGATGATGAGTATCCCTGTCTCTTTCAAAAGGCAGTTCCTCTCCACCCGCAATACTCAGTTAAGAATTCGTATTTCTTAAAGGAGCTCGTTCATGCGGTGAGATTATTCACTAAGGTTATTTACTTTGCAATCTATCTGTCAAAATTTAATCGTTTTTCGATGCCACTCAAAAAGAAACATATCGCGCAATGGGATATGATATTTACAACATAAGGCGACGGACCATTATTTTTTTCTAAGGGAGTTGGGAGTTTTCTGGGGTCCGAATTTTTTTTCTCACCTTTAGGTTGTGCATTTTTTGGTGGGCAATAGCTTGTGCAAGATTTTTTTTAACATAAAAAATCAAAACAATGATAATAGGAGAACTTGCTCGATTTTTTTCCCCATAGCTCCTCTTGTACGATTTTTTTTTTTTCACAGTTTTTGCTGTACAGGAATTTTTTTTCGGAAATTACCCAGACGCCACCCCCCAGAAACATAATGGTCCGTCCCTATTAAACATTGGAGGAAAAATAACTGCTCTAGTTATTTGGAATCAGGCGCAACAAATTTCTTCGTGAAGAAGGAAAAGAATATAAATAATTTTACTTTCTTGTTGTGGTTAAGAAGTTTGAACTGAAGTCTCTTCATCTGAGTTAATAGCGAAAATCCTCAGAAAAGCAACGCAATGTTTTATTCAAGAACGCAATATGAAGGGCTAGGAAAGTTACACAAAACGACCGAAGAAAGGCGATTCCAAACACTGAGGATTGCACTCGCTAATACACAAAATAAGTTTGGCAGGCTAAATGCGACTAAACTGTGTATCAGTAATGTAAGCGTGTATATATTATGGCACTACAAAATGTATTACTTTCAGTTCATTTCGATCTTTGTTCTGCGATGTCTTCGATTCAATTCCTTTGGGTTGCCATCGTAGTTTTGCAAAACAGAAGTATCCCTTCCTAGACTCTCAGTGAAACTAGATTTACATAATAAGTATTACACTAACAAATATTGAAATCTGGCCCGAAACCTGATGTCTAATATGGTTAAATTTGACTCGATTTCCAGGGAAATAAGTTGCACGTCGGATATCGATCATTTAAATTTTGAAGTAGGAAGTCAGAAGGCGCAGAAATCAGAAGTCAAAAGGCTTTCGCACTGGCACTTAAAAATGTGCAAAATTAGAAATCAAGTTTTCCTTTGAACTGAGCTATATTGAGGAAAAGGTTGTTGTTTTGTCGTTTATGATTTTACAGTGTTTTAGGCGACCAAGCGGTGGATTAGGGCTTTTTTTTTTTTTGGACGGGGTGGTTTTTCACCCGAAGAAGCGCTTCTTTGAGCGAAAAATCATCAAGCTCAGAAAAAGCCTCAAACCGGCTGTGGAACGCCTGCAACCCTGTAAAATCACACGAATCATCAAGGACACAACATAGGTAAGTTTAAAGTAAAAACTATTATGAGGCGTCTTATATTTTCGGTATTTCATGAGGTGATAGTGACGCTTGCATTCCGCGCTCTGGCGGCCTGTGAGCCTAAAATTGGCTACAATAATGAACCCGTAATATAGGAAATCAGGTTATTTTTCCCTTCAAGCGGTGATGCCTCTTAATCCCGACTCTATAAAGCTTATAAAGCCTTAAAGAGTGCTTTACATGTAAACAATATCTCAGAATTTTGCATTATATTATTCAATACACTGACACGACCACATCAATTAATCAATGGCCCAAATATGTTTGAGAAAATAGAGTGGGTCTTCACGCATCCTTACATTTAAAAACACTTCTCCTAGGAAACTTAACAGTCGTTCACCAAATTATGGACCAATCGTTAGGCTCAGAAGATATACGGTAACTCTTTCGCGGTTAGAAACATTGAGTTAAAGGATTTCTTTTAAAATTTTGACTTTTAATCTGACACTCCTTACTGTGGGGGAGAAAGGCAAGGAAGGTTTCAAGGATCACAGTTTAGAAAAAAGATGGTCGAGAGCATCAGATTATAAATAAAAATGTGATATCAGAAAGGTAGGGCCTTTGTTATGCTTTCTTTATTAACTTTACATCATACGGTTCATCAGATTTTAGAATAAACTTCGTGGCCCTACGCTGAATTCTCGCTAGTTTCATATTTCTGTTTGTGAAGGTGGACGAGGCAACTGAACAATACTCCAACTTGCATCTAACC